TGATCAATTATTCAAGCTTCTTGAATAATCTGTTTGATTGCGTTCAATTTATATATTTGTTTTCAAAGTGAGCTATGAAAGTTTTTCAGGTAATAATTATTAAATACGTAAAGTAAATCTAAGAAAATTTGATAGATAAGATGATTAGTTTCAGCCTAATAAAAAATATCGCTTAAAAACATCAATGGCAATTTGCTGTAATGTTTTTATTTATATTAATAAAAAATAGCCTAAATATGAAATATGGTTTCTTTGTATGCTATCTAATTTTTACTGTGAAATATAACGGAATAAATATCTAAAACTAATAGAATCATATTATCTAGAAGATTAATAAGATATCTGGCTTCCAGATTTTTATTTGTTTGAATTTTTGTAGTACTATTGAACGCATTCAAGACCACCCTTAGAATGTTAATTCTAACAGCAAATTAATCTTGTAAGATTTTGGCTTTTTTGCCAATACATTCTTACGTTTAAATACCTCATGAAAGAGCTTATCAAAAAATTGGTAATTAACAAGAAACACAGTTTCACAACTATTCAAGAATACATATAAAGATCCAATCATCAGAATTATATGTAAAATTTGTTCTAATATTATCGATAAATCTCTAACACTGATGTGATGAGCTATAGCACGCTGTACATGAAGCTGTCTGTGATAATCCATAGGTGTCACTAATACTTGTGCTTCTATGTATGTTCTTACTTTGATATTATCTATTAAATGCTTAAAAGCATTTACATAATCTATAGTCAAATGAAGAGATCCTTCTAACAGGTTGATAAGTTTTGTATTTTTTATGCTTCAATCAGTTTGATATTATTAGATTCTATCATCATAGCTGTGAATTAAAAGACATTTAATTCGTTCATTGTCAGTTTCTAATACAGATAACTTAATAAATGTCTATTTTCGTCCTGTATAGCTAAGTCATAAATAAGGGAAAAAATACAAAGCTGCATTACGAATCATAATATTTCCATCAATACCATTTTCATTATGGATACTCTTTTTCTGATTTGGATTATAAAATAGAATAGACACAATTCCTGGCAAGACTTTAGAAGTATTGTAACAAAGTGGGTGACTTCATATATAGTAGTCGTATCACTACAGCAGTTTTCGTAAATATTATGAAAATTATTCACATTAAGAATAACCAAGTTTTCAACCTATAAAAAGTTAGATCTCAGTTGATTATTTATAAACCAAGGACTTAAAATATTCGTATATTTAGTATACTTACATTCTCTGATAAAACCTTTCCACTGTCATTATATGTACTCCTATATGCTGAGCTTTATATCTCACAATGGTCTCACATCTTACCGTCAAGCCTGTATTAGCTAAGGTTTCTATTGCTGATGAAGACGTTTTAGACGAATCTAGCAAAAGTCCAACTTCTGTTTTAACTCCATTAATAAATTTATTGTTAAGTTTCGCTAAAAAATAATAGAACGAAACTAGTCTCATTCTATTTTTTTGATTAGTCATATTACTCTTAGTTTGTGAGTTAATTCCAGTTACTAATTGGTCAAAAAACCTTTTAACAATGGTTCAGATTTTTCAAGCATCTTCTTGAATTCTTTTGGGTTAAGAATAGGTTTTTCATGATATACACGTTACCTTGTATATAAAATTTCTGTCATTAGTTTAATCTTCTTATCAAAAGGAATCATTTTTAAAAAAATAACAAAAATATCAACTATATAAAAAGCACATTCATGAATAAAACTATTTACTTATCTAATTTTACTTTATTAAGCTTTGCACATATTTCATGATATGCAGATTCCAATTCTTGAAATTCAAATTCTGAGTAAAAAACATCACTTCGTAATACATATAACCTACCTTGAAATTCTTTTATATTCTCTTTCAAAATTCTTTTAGATAGTAGCATATAAATGGGTAAATTAACATGTTCTGAATTATCATCAGTTTTGTATAAATAATAATGATACATTATTGCATCTTGCGGTAGTTCAAAGAACCTGATTAATCATTTCAAAGACTTCTTAAATTTCTTTTCTTCCATATCATATCGAGCTGTAGATAAATAAAACTTGTGCTTTGGATGAAAACATACATTAGCATTAGTTTTAGATTTTTTTTTGCATTTACTATTAGTTTGTTGTAATATTTTCAGCATAAGGCTTTGCCAACTAAATTCAAATGTTAGCTTGAACTTAATATATTAATTTGCTCAGATACAATGGATGCATCATGCTGTTCATAATCACAAAAAATGTCATCCTGATCCTCCAAATCATAATGCTAAGCCTTTCTTTTTCCTTTTTTTTATTAGAAAGGAGTGTTTCTTCATGGTGGCTAGACATTTGCTAGTATTTTTTTTTTTTTTAAGTAATTAATGATTTTTATAATAAAAATTGATATAAAACCCTTATTAGCTAAGTTCCGAATTACCTTTCCTTTACCAAATTACTTTAACAGTATATAGAATGAAAGGTATTTTTTAGAATTTTTTTTATTACAACCCTTGCGAATTCATCCCTGTGGCTGCGAATCCATTTAAAGTTAGATGATCCTCTTTTCATATGAAATTTAATGTGACAATCATTTTAAGATCAACCAATCAGATTTAAGCCCGCTATGCTCCGATCTTGTATTTATTTTTGTATGTATTAATAAAAATTTTTTATGTACAACATTGATTGTGGTAAATGGCACAGTTTTTTATAACCTAAAAGTATTGTTTCAAGATGCATATTTATCAGGTAATTAGCTCGACATCATATGTAACATCCGCAATGTAGACTGGTCTATTTATTCTGAAAATTAATAATTTGCTCAGATTAAACCAATGTTCCTTGTTGACAAAATTTCCTAAGGAGCTTCTGTTGAATAAGATCATATTTTACCAAAAATTGATTTCAAAATCATGAGCACTGGTTAGTGAAACTGTGAATCCTTTACGCCTTGTGTAAGTAAATCAAACTTGCTTTTACATCATCAACGATTAAGATAGTTAAACGAGATAGATCAATCGGGTCTAAAACAAAGATACAATGCCTGATCAGTTTATAGATGTCTTAGATGTCCATGGTCATTTTCTTTATCATCGGTATATGTCATATGCTTTGACGAAAATTTTTATCAACGCTAAATGCCAATTTTGGTGCAGTATTACGAAACTGTAAGAATTTACCAGAATGTAAAAAAGAAATAACAGTAAGAGTGATCGAAAGTATTAATTTTTGCTACGGAACTTTGTAATAGATCCGAAATTACTGTTAATATAATTTCTTATATCTATGTGAAGCATTAGATAGGATGGAGTAATGGGAGAGAAACTCTCATTTTTATGAGTTAGAGCTCGAGGTGCTTCCTCTCTTTAAACGCCCCTCTACTCTAATAATATTTTATTTAGTCGGTGCTTACTCTTTATATTGATATTCATTTAATACATTCACAAAAATAAATTTTTCGCTTGTATAAGCCAATTTTTATGCATCAGCATTCTTAGCTTTATAATTTGTTATTTTTATTATTTTTTAATTTCCTTGATTTAGTTTACGTTTCTTAACGATAGCATCAATAAGCTCAATGTTATAATTATAATAAATCTTTCAAATAGACATTATCTTGGTGCGAAAAGAGCATCAATTCTTCATCAAAACTAAAAGAATCGTCTTTGTACTTCGTCTTTTATAATCAGATCCAGATTTGTTATCATATATGACAAGGAATTCGTCCAGAAGGTATTATCTTTTATATCTGGAAGTTTCCATGCGTGGTATATCTTCTTGTGTGATCCAGAAACGACGATATTGTATCCTTGTTTTTGTGCAAATTCGATATACAGTTCACACAATCCTTAGATACTGCTATAAACGCCCTACTTTTATCTTTCCGGTTTACTATGTCAGCCAAATATGTTCATTTCTGCATGTAAACACACGCCTTGTTCTATTTCACCGTCCAGTTGTGTAGTTATGGGATCACCATATATCTTCTTTAGGTCTTTCCTTGTGACATCATCCTTCAAACATGCATTCCTGAAATCGCTAAATTCTTTGGGACTAGTAAGACTTCGGATAGTAGTATTCCATGAAGATATGGGTTGATGAGTCTTAACAGGTTCCAACTTTTTCAAGTCAAGATTTATAATCTGACCTTTATGAAATTCTTTACACACGCATCTTACGATATTGATCAAAAACCCTATATAAGACCCCACCTTTCTGATATGTCTTAGGAATTTTTCCGGAATTGTAGAAGATTTTTTGACTTTCTTATAATACTCTGCACAAACTCTGGATATAACGTGTCTTTCCACATTATCTAAATTATCAACTTCAATTGAAGTAGTATTAATCATGAAAGATTTAAAAGACATAACATGATTTTTGTCTCGATCACGAGCTACGTCTTCCCTAAGTTTATTAAACCTATTTTCGAGTTTACCAGAGCAGTACGCCATTACATCCTGGAATAAAGCCCTAACATCATCTCTCTTCCATGCACTTTTCAATGTCATAGGAGCGTCTTTAGAAATACTTCTCAGATGTCTCTTAATTTTTTCGATATATTCATGACCTTCCTTATGCCAAGTCCCGTTCTTAGAAATGTAAACAGTACAATTATTTATTGAAGCTATCAGCCTTACTGCAACAACTTCGTCGTCTCTTGCTAATATTGTTGCTAGTTTACAAGAAAATCTTGCAGGTGAGTACTACTTCTTGCTTCGTCAATGACAAATTTGATGTTTGCAACAGCACAAACTTTACCATAAAACTGTTTTTCCATTTTTGAGGCAGGTTTTCGATTTCTTATTCTGCATAGGGGATGGTAACGGTCGGTAAACGGTCGGTCAAAGGCCTTTGACCGACCGACCGGTTAACTGACCGATTTTAACTGACCGGTTGACCGACCGGTTAATAGTATTATAATTGAGCAGATATACAGGATACATGACAAATTTTTACCGAGAACTTACCGGGTTGCCGGGTTGTCGGGTTGTCGGCTTATAATGCCTAACTTAAAACTTAATGATCACCATCGTTGGTTAATAGTTGAAAGGATACTAGAAGGTTTATCATGTAGGATAATAGCAAGACAATTTAATATCAGCAAGTCTTCTGTTCCAGAGTTTTTATACATTTTAAAAAGTATGGGTGTGTCAAAGATTTATTACCATTAGAATCAGGAAGGTCAAGAATTCTTAAAGTTGAAGATACAAAATACTTAGAAAGCCTTTTGAAAGGAAAGGTAGATTGGTATTTGTAGGAACTACAATCTGAAATAAAGTTATGGTTAGACCATCAAATTTCTTACTGTACAATTTGGAGAGCCATACATCAGCTTGGCTATATATACGAACAAGTAAAATTCAATTTTCTATAAATATAATTTCATAATTAATTATTAATCTTGTTTATTTTTAGTTATCTAAACCAGCATAAGAACATAATAATCATGAAAGATTAAATTTTATAGCAACATGTTATAATAATCTCCATTACAACTTGTATTTTCTGATGAGTCTGCCTATGATAGAAGAATGCTTTCTCGTCATTTTGGATGGAAAATTAGAGGGAGATATATGCAAAAACCTACATTTTATATTTGTAAAAAGAGATTTAAAAATATTAATTAGATACAAATGCAATTTATATTATGATAAAAATTACCATTAATAATTATATTACCATTATAGGTTTCCAAAAGCTTTTTAGAATTTGGATAACAATAATTAATTTTATCAAAAAGTTTAGTTGATGATGGATTAGTTGTATTGACTCATTAATTTTAGCAATCTGAATAATATAAATTTTATTGATCAATTAAATATTATAATTAGAATTAGAATACTAAGATATTAATTCTTTATAATTATTCTTGTCTAAATTGTAATTATATTTTTATTTAATTTAAGATAATGACTATCTTCTGCTATAAAACATCCTTAAATATAGTATTTACATTTAGAAAGATTATTATATATTAATGGCAGTTAATAAAAAGGAGAAAATTACAAATTTTGAGTAATAAAAAAATTTTTTGACTAAAAAGTAGATTTTCTCTTTTCTACTGATCACCTCTCATATTTTTTTAACCTTATAGCTTCCAATAGCAAACTAGAAAAATTAGATTCTGATTTTTATTAAAAATAATTTTTTTTTATTAAATATAAATAAATATAAATTATATATATATTAAATAAATATATAATAATTAAAATATATACATAAAATTTTTTTTTATACAAATTCTTCTATCTATCATTATAGAATTTTCACAAATTATTTGTTTTCTTTTAATTATTCTAAATATGTTAAAATTATTCAAGTCATAAGAATATCAATTGTACTATTAAGTTTTTTATGCAGTTACTTAAATTAATTAAAATAAACTAGCATAATATATTTTAATTACAAATTTAATTTGTAAATTTATATAAATAGTTAAAAATTTTAATATTTACATAATTTAATTTTTGAAAATTATAGGTAATATATAGTTTAAAAATTTAGTATTAATAGAATAGATGGAAAGGTGTCTATTAAATCAATTATATTTATAATTTTTGTAGTTGTATTTTGAGTAATCTACTTAGTTTTTGTAATTTTATTAGATATAATTAAATAAATAAGTATAATATATGCTAATAATAAATTATATATAAATTATATAATATATTTTTATTTTTAGCATAAAAACTACTCATACAAGTTTAGCAAATATTAACATTACTTAGGAATAGTGAAGTTTAATAAATAAAAAAGCATTAGTAAAAAACCAGTCAATAAATTTTATTTTTAGTAAAATTTTTGTTTTATAATACTAATTTGTGTAAATGATTTTGATAAAATTTTATTATATAATCATACTCTATTTTTTTCTTCTTATTTAGTTTTTTATACTTAGTAAGTACAATTTTATCATATATATTTTTGCAATCTAAATAAATAAAATAAATAGAATAAGTGTTTAACTGAAATTAAAAAGGAAAAGTTATTCTTATAATATTATATTAAAAAGATAAAATTATAGATAAAATTAATATAATTATACAAAAATAATTTATTTATATTATAAGTATACATGTATTACATAAAATTTTACATAGTTATTTTTGATTTTTAATTTGTCAACACTTGACAATCTGGAAATCTGATAAGTTATCAGTAAAAAATTTATTATGTATCTTATAAATTATAAAATTAGCTATAATAGAAAATTTTAATTTAACTAAGTATTATAATTTTGATTCTTATTTTAATAATTCTAGTATAATATTTTTTAAAACTAGTTATTTAGTAGTATTATCATTAACTTTAAATTTTTTCAACAAAGTGTTTAAAATATGATTGTTCAGTTCAAGTTAGTCAGTCAACCAGTCAGTCAAAATTAGTTAGTTAATTAATCAATTAGAAATCTTTGACTAATTGATATTTATTAATTTTTAATTAAAATAAGTATGAGAAAGTTTTATATGATTGGCTATTAAATATCAACTTAATTTTTGTAAAAATTTACTGATTTGTGAAATTTATTGCTAATTATTATCAAATTATAAAAGCATATAACTTTTTTTAATATAATGCAAAATTTTTAAGAAATGTCATGTAGATCTTATAAATAAATAATTGTAATAAAATGTTGTTAAATTTTATATATTTACTAAGCTTGCATATTAAAAAGCTAAAATAAAAAGAACATTTAATATATATAACTATTTAAAAGTTAATAATCAACTTTATTAAATACATTACAATAATATTATTAAATTAGACTGAAATAAATATTCAAGTTTACCTTTAAATAATTTGTCAGTTTATAATATTAATACAAATATTGAAGTAAAAAGTAATAAGGTAATTATAATATAATTTATTTTTATTAGAATTTCTTTATTATAAAAGTATTATTTTAAGTATATATATATATTAATTTATTAATATTTTTATTAGATTTTTATTTTTGAAAGCTTTTAATTAAAGTTTTCTATAATATATAAAGAAAGTAAAATTTTTCTTTAAAATTAGAATCAGAAAAATTTTGTATTTTGATTAAAATCAAGAATCACATTTATAAAGATTTTTTAAAGAATTTGTAAAATACATTAAATTCTAAAAAAAAATTAAAAAAAATATTAGAAAATGAAAAGAAAACAGAAAACAGCTAGTGGATTTTGTTATCTTTTTGCTGATGTAAAGTTAAAAAATCTCAAAATAACATATCACATGACCCTTACAACAAAATAAACAAAAATTAGAGAAATTATAATATTAAAAAAACTAATTGAACAAAGGGTCATGAAGGAAAAACAATTAATCAGAAATCACATGATAAGGAGTATAGAATCGTATAATGAAACATAAATCATCTGATATAACTGATAAAAAATATAATCATATGAAATACGATATAATTTAGAAGTAAAATAGATCACATAACTTAACTAAAAGAAAATATAATAACCAAAATGTATTACAATAGCTAGAATATAATATGATAACTTAAATATTATATAAAGCTATGATGAGAAAGTAATAATGATATATTCTGAATTTACAAAATCCTTAAATTGAAGAAAGATCAATTTGAAATAATTAGAGTATAAATGACTGAAAATATGTTATATCTGAATGTACTTATTAGAATTATAAGATGAACTTTTATAAAACCTATTAATTACAAATTTATTCCTACTATATTACACATCTATTTTTAAATTACTAAGATAAAAAGAAGATAATTTTACTATTTTTACAAGGCTCTTGATTGTGATGATTAGAAACTTATCATAATAATTGATATAATATTTACTAAGTTAACTAGTATTAAAATAGCTAAAGTGTAATTATTATACTTATATTACTTAGGAGAATTATTTTTAAAATGATATAATTATTTTAATGTGATATCTTCATAATCAAAAGCTCTATTTCTACTCTAATATGAGATGATTAAAGTTTTTTTTGTAATTTATATTATATATATTTTTCTGTATTAATAAATCGAGAGAGAGAGAAAGAGAGAGAGAGATTATTATTATTTTTTTTTGACAAATTACTGAAGTGATCAGCTTGAAGATTTTGAAAAACAGTTCTCTCAAGAAACAATTAGAATCACGTGATTTTTCCTTTTTATCTAGATGAAAAATTACTTATAAATATACCATATAAATAATATCATTACTAAAAAAATATCATGAGTTTGAATATAGGTAAAATTATTAGTTCAAAATGAAGTGAAGAACTTTCACATACTAGTCACATATTATACAAGATATTCTGTTATCTATCCACTTATAGCTTGACCAAATTATAATTAATCATACTGTTATATTCTATTTAAATAAAATAATTATTCTTATATTATAGAACAAATAAAATAAATAAATAAAAATTATGTTAAATTGTTTTATTTATGAATACTATATTTATAACTAAACAAAAAGTTTATTATTTTTTCTCATAATAATAAAGTAAATATTTTTCTTTGACCTTTCTTTCTTATAGCCTTCTACAAGTTTTTATATACTAGAGTCTCTCAAAGGAGAAACAATTGAAGTAAATATTATTAAGTGAATAAGCTCAAAAAATTGTAACAAATGAAAGATCTGCTGTGAACTTTTTATCTCTAAGATAATAATAACATTAGTCTCTGAATCTTAACTCTTATACATTATGAAAAATATATTAGTACCTGAAGCTAAGAATACTGATTTTTAGATTTACTTTCCTAAGTTGCATTTAATAAGTATAATCAGATAATGTTGACTCTTCAGTTAAAACTGATAAAAATTGCTATAGAAAGTAACTCATATTTAGTCTATAAGTTGGCTTTTAACATAATATTGTAACTTTTGCTATTAATAATTAAACTTCAAGACCTTTGACTACATCTAAATTAGCCTTTTTAGCCTCTCAATTTCTGATATATGATAAGAATTTCAGCTACCAGCCTATTCAATTAGACAAGCATCTCAATATTAACTCTATTTACATTAACCCACTTTATTAATATAAATACAGCAGTATTAGCATTTGGCCATTTGGCCAGTTTTTGGCTATGATTATTTGAACATTTAGTCGTAACTAAATAGTCAAATTTTATTTTAAGTTTGACTGGTCAAAAAAATTTTTTTTATACAATGGCTCACAAAAGAAACAGAATATAATTGATTAATTGCAAAAAAGATTTAACATTTCTAACATTCAGAATGTTAAAAATTGCAAAAATTGACACTTTTGATATTCAAAATATTCTATTTTACAAGAATTTTTAATGTCCTGAATATTAAAGACCAATTTTTTTTCAATAAATTGCAATTTATAAATAAACTGCAGCCAAAATTGGTAAAGTCATGTGATATTTAGCTGATTTTGACTGATTAGCAATTTGGTTGCTGATTTTAACTGATCAGTCAAATCGGCCAATGGTCAAAAAATTAGATTTGGCTATGGCTAAATGCTAACTATGGAATACAGTATCTTAAAAATTGATTTCGCTTTATTTTATTAAGATTATTTTTGAAGTATGTGCTAAGTTTTTAATTTCTAATATACATTCTTCATCTTGTAACCTCAAGAGTGACTTTTTGAAGTCCTATTATTCTTCTGAATTATCTAATTACCTATATTTCTAAAATGTTTATATGCTGTAATGCTATCATTTAAAATTGTATCATATGTTATATTATTAGCATACATAGTCTTGTCATATATAGAAGAAAGTTATTTAAAATAAAAGGTTTATTATGTATTCAAAAAATGCTTGTCTCAACCAAATGTCAATTAATTTTAAGTATTCAATATCCTATTATACTTTATTTATTAATAATAAGGTATACAAAATTTTGTAATTATTCTTGTAATTGTTTTAATCGCCTGTTTTCTAATTCAAGATTTTTGGTATTACATAAAAGTATAGAAAGTATCAAGTGAATAATTATACCATTAATATTCCTTCTATAATATACCTATTACTATATCTATTTGTTTAAAAAGTTTTTTGATTTTCATTTTGATAATCAATTGAAGCATTTATTATTTGATCTATATCTTAAGATCTTAGATCAGATGAACTAACTATCTGTTTAAATACATCTCAGTAAGTTACATCCAATCATAATAAAGTTCTTTCTTTTGTCATATTCGTTTTATTTATCTACATGATTTTCAAGCATATCAACTGGATTATTATTCATTATATCAAGATGATAACTATAATGAATTGATTAAGAAATATTACTATCATTTAGTTATTGTAGATTTTGATGTAAAATATGAAGGAGAACTTTAATATAACAGAACTTCTTCCACTGTTGTCTATTACATAGAAGTGATAGTCTTGGCCATATTTGTGTGATATTTTCTTTGCTTTTTTTTAATAATTATTGATATTTTTATGTTGTTAACGGAAGAAATGGCAACTCCAAATATCACGTAGGATATGTCAATCAATAATGATCTCACGTTAGATGATGTCACTGCTGTGCCAAATATTGATCAGCAGTAATTTCTGTTTCTTCTATTACGTTTGTTCTTACTATATTTCCTATACAGTCTGTTTATCCTGTTTGTTCTGTTTTCGTCTATAATTTCTTTAACGTCTGTAATTTATTTTATTTCTTTTTGTTATTTTTATAATTTATATTATTTTTGTTATTTTTATTATTTTAAGTATATTTTATTGGAACATATATCTATATTTAGTTAATTTATAGTGTAGCAAGTAGTTAGCCGTAGCAAATTCATTTTGTATAAATAGAATAGCTTTTTGCTTAAGTTGTAAATTAACTCAGTTGTAAGTTTATTAACTCTTCTGTGAGTTTCAAGTTATAAATAAAGGAATCAATTTAAATCCACACAAATTACTTTTCCCTTTAACGTTGTCCTTCACCTAGGATTGCTGTGATACACTACACTAACTTGCTATTGAGTTTGTCATTACGAGTTCGATTAACATATCTTAAATTCTAAGACGTGATAAATTGCCGAGTTGATTTAAGTATAACGGATACCTGTAGGACTTAGAGAAAACCCTTAAGTCAGAAACTCCAATGTGTAGAATCAGCTGCCACAGCCTTTCAACTTAGACGTTAAGATAAACGAAAACGAACCCGGTGACAATGTGATTGATTTCTTGATTTTCTTTTTATTAGAAAAGTTATAATATTTTTTAATTAATGAACAAAATAAAATCGATAATACTTTTAAATAATATTATAAGATACTTTAAATTACATATGTATGTGAATATATTGATTTAATTTTGATTTAAATATTTTATAAAAATTTAATGCAAATAATAATTGATACTATTATATAATAATAACTTTAGATTTTTATTAGTTAAATTTTAAATCTGTCTTTATAAATACCCTTGTAAAATAAGTTTGAATTTGACTAATCATTAATAATATACTTTATTTTTAAACTCTAATAACTTTTTAAATAATTAAGCTAATTCAAAAATATAAGCTGATTTTTTAAAGCATAACTTAAATTATATATAAATCAGTTTAATTTTCTAATTACATATAAATTGAAAAATTAGTTATATTTAGAATTTATACTAAATTTTTAATACCTTTAGATATTATACACTATAATAAATTAAAAATTATTATAAAAATTTATTATTATTTATAATATTATTATTATATAATCTTTGTTTAGGTTTATTTTAACAACTTTGAGATTTTGTTAAGTTTGCAGATAATTAGACTAATTGTTATTGAAGAAGTTCAATTTAATTAAATATTATTTATTGTTATTAAATAAATTAAATTATAAAAAATCTAATTTTTATTTCTTTAGCTTTTTAAATAATAGCATTCAATATGTTAGAGCTATATTTTACAATTATAATTATTAGTTAGAGTTGTAATTCTCATATAAATTTTTTAACTCTATAATCCTGTTTAAAGTTTCTATTAGGATCAATTCTATTCATTAAAGTTTTAAATTTTAAAACATATTCACTGACTGTTTAATTAGATAATTCTTAAAGTATTTTTAATTCTGTCATTCACTTATTTTTTATAGTGACGTTTGCAAATTATCTAATGAATTTAGTTATAAAACTAGTTAAACTTCTCATATTATTTCAGTTATAATATTCATATAATATTCTTTATACTATTTAATAGCAGTATCTTTTAAATATCCTGTAATTATTTAATATTTTTGATTATCCTGCTATTAATTTGCAATAGTAACTCATTCAAAAACACTAATTTATTCATATAGATTTTTATTATCTTGATCATAAAAGTTTTTAGATTTGATAATATTTAATTCTTTATTTACTGCTGTAATATTAATAGGATTTCTAAAAACAATCTATTATTATTTGTTATAATGTTATAGCTAATTGATTTGTTAGAATATTTGTTTTATTATTACTCAAAATTAGAAATAGATTATGTAATAGGATGTTATTTACTAGTAGATCTAAGTAAAAAGTTATATCATATTAAAATAGAAGAAATAAGGATAATAGTAATAAGGTTAAAAATAATAAGTTTAAAAGAACTTATATTCGTAATATTTTAGTTTAGTCTTATTATATATTGTGAAATTATCAGTTATTTTTCTTTACTATTTAGAGTTAAAGGAATAGAGTTACTTGTAAGTGAAGAATTTGTAAAAATATTATCAATTATATCAATAGGGGTATATTAGATGCTTGCTTACTTGTAAATAGTATTTTATATCTTCTTTTACTAATATTTAAAAGGATAAATTAAAAAATTTGATAAAAATTCTTTTCACTTTGAGAATTACGAATTTGAGTAATGTTAGCTGATTTTGATTCAAACCAAAATACATTCATTGACAAAGATTCCACTTAAGACTATCTACCGGAACCTTAAAAAAATTGAAGTTACTGGGGATGTTCAACGTAAAAGTGGTAGTGGACGCATTAAAAAAATAACACCTAGGGCATCCATAGCAATTGGGCAGTATATTTGAAGGGAATCCTCAATTTCTTCTCAATCTATTGCTGATAAATTGAAAGATATTGGAGTAAATGTCTCCCGCTCAACAGTTTCGAGGCATTTGACTGACCTTGGATATCGAAATGAACTTCCTCTTCGTACACCAATGTTAACTCCAGTCCATATGCAAAATCGTGTTGAATGGGCCCAAAAACACAAGGATGATAACTGGGTCTCTTCTTTTTTATGTCCGCCCGACTTGACATCCCAAAGTCAATCAGGTAGATGTCACCGTCATCGTTAATTAAGATGTTTTCCTCCCGAATGTCATTGTGGAGGATGCCATGCTTGTGGATCGCTTCTAATCCCTTAATAGCCCTCGACCTTTGCCGATTTGTTACCTTTTGGTCGCTCAACGTAGTACCGACAATGGTCAAGCCGATAACGAAGCTCCATAATATCCATAACAGACCAACTTCGGGATATACTTGCTGGATATCAGTGAGTTCCTTGTAAATCTCTACTTCCTTCTGCATTTCTTTCAGAACATACGATGGAGCCTTCGACAAGTCTACGCTCTTCAGAGCAATCGTTTCACCACGAAACTCGCACAGCAGTGTTTTGCCACTTCGTCCTTCACCTAATATGCCCTTAAACTTGAAGTCCGTGAAGCTAAACAGTGCTGGAAGTTGATTGTTGATTTATTGAGGAGCTAGAAGTCGATTCCGACTCCTTGAACCGGTACTATTACTTGAGGTTTAGGAGACTTGGGATTCTCTTTCGCCCGTCTAGTTAGATAAGCATATGCCTTGAGTACAGGTGGAGTTTCAGCCGGACTATAAAGCAAAAAACGCCAATCCCTAGCAGTGGTCACTATGCAATACAAAGTAATCGAAATCATCCTCATCACGTGCCCTGACGTCCTGTGTCACAAAGATATTACTGCATGACATAAATATTTTTTTCTGCGTCATTAATAATATCAATGTTACCATATTACCACCATGTCTGAAAGTGTCGCTTCAATAAAACCATTTGTCTGCAAATGGTTTGGTGCTCATTCGCGCTTTAGTACTCAGGAGGAACTTGAACATCACGTCTACAATGATCACAAGGATTTAACCAACTTAAAGTGAGTTTTCTAACTATTACTTGAGAAGAGTCTTTTGGCTTTTAAACTTTCTAATCTGTTCTTATGCAGAGCCTTTTATCGAGGATTCCCAATTTATAACTGTCCATGGGAAGGTTGCAAAAAGCAACTGAGTGATATTCCTAAATTAGAAGGTATAAAAAATATGCCAAGTATCTCTGATGCTTTAGTAATTATAATAAGCTATTACTGATTTCTTGCAGAACATTTGCATGAGCACACCCAACAAAAGCCATTTAAGGTAGGTTCATAAACCGGTTTTGCCTGCTACTTTAAAATGATCGTATTGACCTTATTTCTTTTGTGTTTAGTGCCCAATTTGCAATTGTTTGCATCAATTTGAATCTCTTGATAAACTAAATCAACACTTAATTTCCAACCATAATGATAGTGTTGTGGATCCTACAGGCGCAGTCGATATGACGAAACAGAAAAAAGGTATTCCTTTAAGACGATACTGCTTCCATTTCATAAGAAATTATTGAATCATGGTAATCGTACTTATCATGAATTATCTAAGACGTGTTTAATATATTTCTTTATTGGTCAAAAAAAATAATCAAGGCGATACTGCTAAATACGAAGTTAAAAAAAACAATCAAAGTGCTAAATATGAAGTCAAAGATGAAGATTATCTTACATCATATAATTATGAAGATGATGAAGATTATCTTATGTGTAAAGCATTAGCTAAAAGTTTGGATCGGAAGTATATTGAAAAACTATTAGTTGAGAATGGACTTGACGATATTGATTTCGATAAATTTTTTTCGACTTAAAAGGATTTGCTCACAGAAAATTTACCATTGTAAATTTTATTAAAATAAAATCATGTTCTACGAGTTAGACTAACAAGCTTGATACACTTTTCGATCGCTTCTCTAAATTCTGGTGTTGGTTGAGTCACATTTAAACGTCTAATGGCGGCGTTTTGCGAAAGTCTTTTCCCCTTGTGGGCTCTTATATTTCTACTAATTTTATAAAAGCCCACTTGAGCAATTTCACTTACTGTCATTCCTAAAAGTTTGGTTGTCATTTCGAATCTTTTGCGTACACCCTCTCGATCCGCGTCGTAGCTGTCCATTAAGTTTTTATATGAAGTAAATTGATCGCTTTCGTATAACCCTGTATTGTAGTAGTACAGAAAGCGATCACACCATTCGGACAAGATATCACATAAATCATCAGTTGCGTCTCGGACGTCCTCGTTGAAGCACAACTTATTTGTATGTCCTGTGTCTTTAGAAAATATAAAGTCAGATAAAGTATTGAGAGTACTTCAGGTGAATTGAGGAATACTTACCTCTTTCAAGGAGAATTAATTTGTTAGAATTACGGACTTCATTGTCCCAAAATGTATCTGAAATTTCACTTCGAGGCCTTTCTTGCAGACTTCGTTTATATATAGTAACTCTGTTTTGTGATTGATTTAGATTCACGTTATATTGATTGGCATTCCAACATTCTCCAATTTTTTCAAAAATCTTTGCCATTTCTTAATGAGTTAATTAAACTTGAAGAAGATGAAATCGTAAGAGGGGAAAGAAATATGTGTACGTAATCTGTAAACATGAATTGTCTCTTAATTTGTAACACAGGCAAGTTTACCAAAATAATTATAAATTGATTATTGTCAGCCAAATATATTTTCAGGTGATCAATCTCATATGACTGATATTATCTTCCAGGGACACATACGCCTCGCATTCGTTTAAAGCCAGAATAACACTATTCTGGTAATATCTCCGATTGAAAGAAGGTTTGTTCATCGTCCTGTCCCTTAATTTCACTACTTCTTCAAATAAAATAAAACACGTGATTTTGGGCGAACCGAGTTCGCCGAAATTTGCCAAGAAAAATTTTTTTATTAATACAAATACAAAGTTCAGAACGTAGCCCGCGATGTTATAATCCGTTGCGTCACTAGATGACTGCGCCAACTAATGTCACCAATGATCACCAGGAAAATCGTGATCATCATTTTCACTAATTTCAAAAGGATCGACATGTCCGTCTGCCCGGCACGTGATGATTGACATCACGTGAACGCCGCCATACTAGACCTTATTTATCAGGGGTTCCTTAACCTGTACCCCGGGTGTAGGCCTTTATCCTAGACCCCCTTTTTCTCAAATATGATTGGTTTAAATCAATCTTCGTCAGCCACATATTTTTGTGTAACTTTTATCTTGGAAATTTTTTTCACATACTTAAAATTTTTTTCGTATTTTAAATGGTAAAGAATAAAAAAATAACATGTATATTTATGTATTTTAAATAATAATAAATAGATAAAAACTTAAGTCCAAAACCAATGTCAAAAACTAATAATTACACTTTATTAAATTAAATATTATCACTAAATTTTTTACTAAAAAAACACGTCTTAGCGTTAGTATTACAAAAAAATTTATAACTTCATAACTATTTAAGCTAGCCTCATAAAATTAATACATAAAAATTTTAATATTTACTGAACAACTTTACCTAAGTTTTTCCTTGATTTCTTTGGTTAAACTGTTCAATTTACACCTTAACACAAAAATAAAACATGTCTTAATATTATTAATAAACACCAATAACTTCAAGCTAAACCCACGAAAATTAATATACAAATATTTTCATATCTTATGAACAACTCTCCTTAAGTATTTCGCCTGTTTAGTTGACTAAAATATTGAAATTATGTTATGAAATAAATCTCTATATAGTACAAAAAAACATGTTTGTTATGTTCATAACTTCATGATAATATTCTTTTACACTTAAAGTTATGAATTGCTGTTGAAAATATTTTAGCTTTATTAATTAATAAAACCTTAAAAAAAAATTTTTAAAACATGAAAAAGATGTAAAAGAGAGATTTATTATCATGCGCAATGGTTAACAGTAAACAAATAATTAATTAATGTGGCTGGAATCATGATGAACAAATCAAATTTGGAAGGGTCCAGGTTAAAATTCTAGACCCCCTAGTGTAGGTTAAGATTCCCTTATTTATTAACATGTCTATCTGTCCAGCACGTGATAATTGATATCATGTGATTAACTTACTAAACCTTTTGGATTTTAAGATAATCGACATCACGTAATTGATTTACTAAACTTTTTTTTTATTTTACAATATAATAAATAATAATTATTGTATTACAGTTAAGGAAGTCAATCGCTTCTCTTCATCCTTTCTATCTTATAACCTCTTTGAATTTTTTATGCGTTGAAGTCTTTTAAAAGAAAATGGTCAGAAAAGAAGATCATTGAGAGTACAAACTCGAGACACTGCTACAAATGAAAGGCCAGCAGTATACTCTCTTTTCTCAAAATCGACTATGACTTTTTGCAATGTTAGTCCTTAGCTCTTATGTACTGTAATTACCCACGCGAGACTAATAGGAAGTTGCAAGCATGAACAAACTGAAGATTTGTCTCCCAGGTTTGTCATATCAGTAATATAGGAATAAGTTTTTTGCCTTCTATGATTGTAATTACCGGACCAGTATAATTGTTGAATTCAATGAGAATGGTATTTGGAAGTGATGGTGGTTTCTGACTTTCTTCATATAAAATTTCCTAGACAATTCCCATTGATCCATTTACTAATCCTGCTTCTGTTTACAAATTGGCTCTAAGTATGATACATGCTTCTCTGGCAAGTAACGGGTGAGATTCAAGACCTTTTGCTGTATTAAAATCGGCCTTAGACGCTTTATGACCTATATGCACAGCATTGATTCTAGTAATAGGACAGTTTAAAGTTCTAAGTTTGTTATAATTGACCTCATCAACATCTACTTTTTGAGGCAAAAGGGATGTGGCTTTATAAAACTATCTTTTATCTACGCTAAGTGAATCTGCAAGTTGTGTGATAAGTTTTCTCTAGTCATTTATTGTCATTTCTCCATCACATAAATGTAACAAAATATCTCTAAAATAACATTGATCCTCTGAGTCTTCAGATTGGCGTTGAACAACATCAAGTTTATAGACCTCTCAAACTTGCTTGTATGTATTCGCACTATTATTTGACAATGAATTATATCGAAGAGTTTGCATATATATGAGATTATCCATTACAGGTGGAAGTTGTCCAAAATCACCAATCAGAATTACAGATCGACCTCTAAAGGGTTGATCTTATTGCTTAGGAAAAGTCTGACATAATTTTATATCGATTAAGATTAGGGTTGTTAAAGTCTTAGGTCCTAGACTTAAAGACCCGGTCTTAAGACTAAGTCTGCAGATCATTAAGTCCAA